CCAACGGCAAACGCCCCAACGGCAAAAGGCCCTTGGGCAAAAGGCCCAACGGCAAAAGGCCCGTGGACAAAAGGCCCATAAACAAAAGGCCCGTGGGCAAAAGGCCCAACGGCAAAAGGCCCGTGGACAAAAGGCCCGTGGGCAAAAGCCCCAACGGCAAAAGCTCCAACAGCAAAAGGCCCGTGGGCAAAAGGCTCGTAGGCAAAAGGCCCAACGGCAAAAGGCCCGTGGGCAAAAGGCCCAACGGCAAAAGGCCCTTGGGTAAAAGGCCCAACGGCAAAAGGCCCTTGGGTAAAAGGCCCAACGGCAAAAGGCCCTTGGGTAAAAGGCCCAACGGCAAAAGGCCCTTGGGTAAAAGGCCCAACGGCAAAAGGCCCTTGGGTAAAAGGCCCAACGGCAAAAGGCCCTTGGGTAAAAGGCCCAACGGCAAAAGGCCCTTGGGTAAAAGGCCCAACGGCAAAAGGCCCTTGGGTAAAAGGCCCAACGGCAAAAGGCCCTTGGGTAAAAGGCCCAACGGCAAAAGGCCCTTGGGTAAAAGGCCCAACGGCAAAAGGCCCTTGGGTAAAAGGCCCAACGGCAAAAGGCCCTTGGGTAAAAGGCCCAACGGCAAAAGGCCCTTGGGTAAAAGGCCCAACGGCAAAAGGCCCTTGGGTAAAAGGCCCAACGGCAAAAGGCCCTTGGGTAAAAGGCCCAACGGCAAAAGGCCCTTGGGTAAAAGGCCCAACGGCAAAAGGCCCTTGGGTAAAAGGCCCAACGGCAAAAGGCCCTTGGGTAAAAGGCCCAACGGCAAAAGGCCCTTGGGTAAAAGGCCCAACGGCAAAAGGCCCTTGGGTAAAAGGCCCAACGGCAAAAGGCCCTTGGGTAAAAGGCCCAACGGCAAAAGGCCCTTGGGTAAAAGGCCCAACGGCAAAAGGCCCTTGGGTAAAAGGCCCAACGGCAAAAGGCCCTTGGGTAAAAGGCCCAACGGCAAAAGGCCCTTGGGTAAAAGGCCCAACGGCAAAAGGCCCTTGGGTAAAAGGCCCAACGGCAAAAGGCCCTTGGGTAAAAGGCCCAACGGCAAAAGGCCCTTGGGTAAAAGGCCCAACGGCAAAAGGCCCTTGGGTAAAAGGCCCAACGGCAAAAGGCCCTTGGGTAAAAGGCCCAACGGCAAAAGGCCCTTGGGTAAAAGGCCCAACGGCAAAAGGCCCTTGGGTAAAAGGCCCAACGGCAAAAGGCCCTTGGGTAAAAGGCCCAACGGCAAAAGGCCCTTGGGTAAAAGGCCCAACGGCAAAAGGCCCTTGGGTAAAAGGCCCAACGGCAAAAGGCCCTTGGGTAAAAGGCCCAACGGCAAAAGGCCCAACAACAAAAGGCCCGTGGGCAAATGGTCCAACAGCAAAAGGCCCGTGGGCAAAAGGCCCGTAGAGACATCTACGTGTGTGAGACGCCATGCATGGCAAAAGGCCCAACGGCAAAAGGCCCGTGGGCAAAAGGCCCGTAGGCAAAATGCCCAACGGCAAAAGGCCCAACGGCAAAAGGCCCGACAACAAAAGGCCCGTGGGCAAATGGTCCAACGGCAAAAGGCCCGTGGGCAAAAGGCCCAACGGCAAAAGCCCAAACGGCAAAAGGCCCGTGGGCAAAAGGCCCAACGGCAAAAGGCCCATTGGCAAAAGGCCCGTAGAGACATCTACGTGTGTGAGACGCCATGCATGAAGACCTAAGACCAGTGAGGACATGGGGATGAAACCCCAGAAGATGAGGCAGAGGGGGAAAAGGGTGGAGGAGGAAAAGGGCGGAGGGGGCTGCATAGTGAAATCAAAGGCACATTAAAAGACAAAGCATCGCTAACAATTTTTGGAAGTCTGTATGAATGTAATGAATGTAATGAAAAGAGCTGCAATTTTGTTCTGAAGACCACTTCAAAAGTTGATTGGTGTTTCTAGAATTTGGGGAAAACACACAGGGTTTACAGATTTTGGTTTTGTCTTTAAAATGTTAAGCTGCAATTAATCTGTCACTGGAGAGTCTGAATGAAAAACAAAGAGTGAGGAGGGGTCCAACGGCAAAAGGCCCGTGGGCCGTGGGAAATGAAAAAATTGAACATGCAAGTCAGCAGTCAAAGCAAAGGGTCAGGTTGTAAATACAGGAAAAGGAAATAATGTCTGAGCAAGAAGATGGGCTCGGGGACTGAGCTGGGCTACAAGATCACTGGTGATGGCTGCAATTAGATGGTTTGGGAAGAGCCACAGAATTTCTGCAGTAGATAATTACAGGTTCGCCTTTCAAGAGGATCAATTTCTTTCAAACCCTTGTTACTCAGAGACTCTGGATCTGTCGTATGAGATTTTATATTCTTTCTAAAGCTTTGTAATGATAGTTAAGAGTTAACTCTGAAGACTTTTATTATCTATAGATGGATCCCATTCATCCTTGAAGCCTGCTAGACCATTAGCTTCAGTAATCTGTTGCACTAGTTAGATGAAAACTGCCTTAAGAAGGCAAGAACTGCAAGAAGGAGAACCTTTAGGAACTTAAAGAACTTGTGATTGATTTTGGTATGTACTTAACTCACAATGACACTGGCAGATAACATTTCATTAGAGAAAATATAACTAGGTCTCAGAGCACCAAAAAAAAAACCAACAAACCACCCTTCCATTTTTTTTCTGAGGACTTTAGATCAGGAATAAAAAGAGGAAACCACAGAATGAGATGGCTAAAGAAAGACACTGTCTTTCCAATGTCTGAAATATCTCCCAGCTAACTAGTGAGGTGATACTAAAGATGCTACACAGCATTTTCAGTGGTGTGGAAAAGAGGGAAAGCCAGATTAATTTGTCCAACCCCAGGCATCCAGCATCAGGGGAGATGCTCTGTGGTACATCAGGGGGTTGCTGCAGGGCAGTGATGGACTCATGCCATGGCTAACAGCCTCGGGTATCCTCAGGGACTGTGTCCACATGGAGCTGGTGGCTACTCAGACCAGGAGATGAACCCAGATAATTTCCTCTGATTATCTGCATATCAGACTAATGATCAGTATTAGGTGATATTAAAGAAGCAGTTTCACTGCAGTAAGCAGCTGTAATTCCCACAGGGAAAAACACTGAACGAGGATTCTGCAGGAATTTCTGCACTTGATTATTTCAAGCTGTTAACACAGTTGGATGCAAAATCAAATACAAGAAGTTAATTCTGTACTGAACTATTTCCCTGAAGCTGTTTGGTGATGATAGCCAATACTCATTACTCAAGGTAGGGCTCGTTGCATTGCTTCATTTCTATCATCATAATGAAAAATACTCCTTTGCTTCAGATCTGAAGAGTGGCATAAGCTTATCTTCTGACAGATTTTCTTCTGGATAGAGCAGCTGCTTTATGTCATTCACTGCTGAGCTATAGGTATTATTTTTTTTCTGGTTGTTTTTTTTTTTCCCCCTAGTTTAATTAATATGATCACCTGGCTTATCAGAAATTAACTGTGCAGTATACATGAATCACCTTTTTCAGTTGGTAAGCTTATTTTATGTAGCAGCTTAAGGCATTGTGCAACAGCTCACAGTGTTAAAGTAGGGCTGGCAATTTTGGGGGTATTAATCTGCTGGCATAATGGAATGAATCAGAAAAGATTTGATAAGGTAAAACTTTGTTCTTTCGTCCCATTTCCAGCTGTAGGGTTTCAAAATGCTTTTGGCCATGGTTGCTTGCAGTGGTGGCTGCTTTCAGTGCTGGCTCTCCAGGCATCTGTGTTCCAGTCGCTTAGATGGGGAAGCCAAAGAAGTGGAAAGAGGAATTGTCTGAAGCCAGTGAAAAAAGTCTGTCAAAATTCAGCACATAATTTTGTGATCTTAACAGTGAAAGGTCTCGCCTCACTTAAAGGTAACTGGGGACTTGCAAGGGGACCAGAGACACAGAAGAAGTGCATGGGTGTAGGCTGTTGGTGTTTCAGTGTTTAACTGATGAAAAGCCTCAATTCTGTAGTCAGAGTCCTATGAAGACACATTTTGTGTATCTAAAGCTCATAATGGTTCAAAAAAATCTTAATTTAAAAATAAGCTGTAGCTTTAGAAAGCTGTTTTGGTGTTTGTTTGGGGTTTATTTTAGTACAGTTGCAGCTTCTAGAGGTTTAAGTGGAGAATATGGGGAGGCCTGGAGGGGGATGGAACTAGAGAAGTCAGCTGTGACCTTCTGTACTTGTTAATTTGAAGATGCAGTCCTCACTTGGTGTCTGCCTGACTCAATTCACTGTAGGAAGACACGTTTTGCCTGCACCAGAACAGCTTTTGAAAAGGCAGATACCTAGGGCTGTCTTGCATTATGCTTATTTTATAATTAATGATTAACAGATGACATTTATAAAATAAAAATCAGGCACAACAGCTGCGTTATTTGCCTTTGAAAAGCTGTTGTTATGCACACAGCATGCCTTTCTCCTTGTCACTCATCATATCAGAAAGATGTATGGGGGGAAAATGCTACAGTGCCATCATGTCATGTCCAGTGCAAATGAAAGTGTCATAAATGTTCAAAGAACATATGAATAGGAAGAGCTTCATTGACACATGCCTCCACTGGGCCATCAGGAAGGATGGTACCAATTGTGTGGTTAGTATGCACAGATAGAGTCTCAGCAAAGATTTCTATAGAACTGTCAGGTTTTTTTAAAAATTGCTTTCTCTTTGCAAGTCACGTGTTTACTTCCACAGTTTTTCTATTTTTGTTCCTCAAAGAGCAGTCTAAAAAGTCATTAGTGGATCTACTTCTGCAGCAAGACTTGAACCCCTAGTGGCACCTGTCCCAATAGTGTCAGTGCCCAGTTTGGCCCAGTAAACATCTGTGAAACCATAATGTGCACGAGTCAGTGTAAATTCTGCCTCAATTAACTGTTCTGACCCTGTGAGAAATATTAGCATAGAAAATGTGTGGGAGAGGTGCTGGTTTGGAAACCAAACCATCTGATAACATAGGAGCTCCCACTGAAGTCAGTTCAGGAAGCTTTCCCCAGAGGTGGCTGAGAGTGGGTGCTTTGTGGAAGAGAAACCAAAACTTTGTGTTGTTATCCTACAGCATCCTTCCAGGTCTAACTGGGAACATTTTGAAGCCTGGAAATGAATTCAGAATTTTAGCCTCTTCTGGGCTTAAAGGAGTAATTTCCTCCCCAGGGTCTTTTTCTGGTTTTCTTGAATTGAATGGGTATGGACACCTACCACCCTCCCAGCTGCCTTGTGCCCTCATGGACAACCAGAACCCTCGGTCCCTGGTAGAGGTGACCTCCCACTCCTCCTGAAGGCCATGCCTGCTGCTGAGGGCATGGGAGGTGGCAGAGCCATCCTCACTCCTGGTGGGAGGCACACAGAAGGGGCTCAGGAGCCACTGAGAGAGGGATTTTGAGTCCCTGCTTCCCCATGTGTTGGCAATATAACTGTGTCGTCTTTGTTTGCCTGATCTGCAGTGCATTATAACTTGCTCCTCTCAACTGTTGCCTTTAGATAACTGTGACAAGCAAATGAGTGATTGTGGTGAACAGACCAGCAGAGAAAACTTAAACGATTGATCAGTAATAGTTCATCTGCACATGAACAAAAAAATCCTAGAAGTGTGTAAATCTGCTTAATTTTAAAACAGCCTAGTCTATCTCTCAGAATACTTTTTATATTGTAAAAAAAGATTGAAGTGTGATTGTTGATGTCCAGATCCCACTCTGGGTTTCTGAACTGTCCAACTGCATCAACAGCCCTCTCGTGAGAGCAGCCTGTCATCTAATGCTACATCTTTTCAAGGCAGCTCACATATTTCTAGAGCTCTCGTTAGTAATTAAATGACTTTCTCACTATTATAACAAATGCCACTCATATTGTTAATGAGAGCATCAGGCTAGTGTTCCAACTAAGAGATTAGCAGGGGATGCAAGTATATTTTGGATTCTCTGTTGTAAATTTTTTGCCTCTTTTTTTTAATTGGAAGCCTCATTCGAATTTAGAATATGCAGGTTTTAAAAAGTTGGTTAGCATTTGAATATTTCTCTTTTTCCCCTGCAGTGGCCTTTTTCAGATCTGTTTTTAACACATTTAGTACAAAAGTCAGTTATCAAGAGTAATACATAAAAAAGATAGATGTAGAGATGTAAAGCATTAATACATGGTGGTGGTGGTAAGCCTGACAGCTGTCAGCTTTCCTGTGTGCATTTATCTTGTACTCTGTATTATTTATTCATCTGAAACACATTCGAAATTGAAGCAGATGAAAGGTAATGTAAGGTAAATTAAGACTGTTCAGGACAACTAGAGATCAGAATGGGATAAAATACGTGCAGAGCACCTGGGTATTGGTGGCTGCTTCCATACCTGAAGTGTTTCTCTTAAAAACATGCCTGGAATTATTCAGGAGCAGCTAGCATCTGTAGCCCCAAAGCTTCTGTAGTTTATTCTTCTGAATGGGCATGTAATAAATATTTTATACTGAGTCTTCAAATGATTGAAGGAGGCAAAAGAAGAAGAAGAAAAAAAAAAGTTCAGAGAAGAAAGTAAGCAAAGAAGCAGCAATCTAAAGAGAAAGATGGGTGCCTCCCAGATGCATTTATTGCAGAATTCACCTTGTAATGAAACACCACACCCCATGAAGACGATGGGAAGATGCAGTGCAGGTGAGGATACTTGGGCTGAGCAGGCATGTCCTGGTACAAGCATAACTGAGGCCAGATGGTGATGAGGCATCATTACTA